TATAATATAAAAATAATATATAAAACATTATAATATAAATAAATAAATAAAATATATAGGCCTATTGCCAGTTGGAATATTTTCTGCTAATTTCAATAAACAATTTTTTCAAGTGTATTTCATTCTTAATTTAAATTCCTGTTTATATTAAACACACCAAACTATATAATTTTAACTTTAAATCATGTTTTCTGTATAACCGTATATCTGGAGATAAGATTTTTCTGTCAGTTCAAAACATAATATTAAATAGGTGAAATGAAATAAACAAAGTACAATATAGGCCTAATTGATATTTTGAGAACGAAAGACTGAAATCGATAACGAGAAAGTTAGGCCCCTATACCATAGAGAAAATATTTCTCTATGCTTATACTGTACTACAGGACTAGACAATTGTTTAAATCGAACGGTGAAAATTGTCCTCGAATTTCATCAGGTTATTTTAATGAGGAAACCAGAACAGGAAGTGAGAAATGTTAACATATCGCAGTCGCAAAGAAAAATTCAACTTGACGTAACATGCATGTGACGACGTTAGGAGAGGCTTTGCCGTTCGAGCTTGAAAAATTCAACTTGTTGTAAGAATCGTTACCAGCCTATTTTGTATGCGGCCGGCCCAGCATGATCAAGACACGGCTGTTTTTGTCCAACTTCTTGTAGCAGTCGTAAGAATCATATGAATAGTAAGAAATTCTGAACTTTACGTCAACAGGAAACCAGGCTTTAGAATGTGATCCAAACAGTTAATTCCAGAACCAAGGAGTGCAGTTATGTATGTTAACAATTGCAATTAATTTAGACCATTTAGAGATTACAATATAACCATACTCCTGTAACCCCCTTACACTTAAAAATCCTGTATGTACATTGCAAAAACAACATCACATTGAAGATTGATTGAGTGTTGCTCCATTTGTTTTGGAGCTTATCATCATCAACTCTATTAGATAGTTTTTCCCCACCATACAAAAGTGTTTGCAATGGCACAATATCTCATAGCAGCCATTTTATAGCCTTCTAAAGATGGGCAATTTTGCAAGAGGTTGATCTTACTTTTTTATGATAGGCCTAACCTAAGCAAAAATGTTGAAATAACAAAACAAAACAACATCATAAGATTAGAGTAACCAAGGAGTTTTTGTAGTAACTTACCAATGATGAGGGCACATAGCATGCCTGTCAAAAAAACGTATTTAAAACGTCTTATACACATACTGACCGTTGATGAAGCCACCATTACTACAGTTTCGACTCCTTGCCCTTGGTAAATATTTGGATTGGGTAAATATATTTCAATGGTGTTTCGTTTGATGAGCCTTCTTAGGGCTCATTATATGTACAAAACTGTTGTACCATTGCTTGATCCCATGTTTTGTAACTGTGTATTGACCTGTGTCTGCTAAAAGAAGTGATATAAAAGTTATTTTAAGAAGAGAAGAATTTTCCAATAATGACTTTATTAAATTTAAATGTCCTTATCTAAAATAATTATAGCTATTTCAAAATTATTAATAATGCTTTATGATGTTAAAAATAGAAATACTAAAGAAATTTAAAAGAAAATTAATTTGAATAATGGTACAGATACATTGACCAATCAGGCATGGCTGTATACTCTTTGGCGAGACACGGCGGATTTTTTGTAAACTGAGCGCCTTTTTTAGACATTTTGTTTTGTGTTTCTTTGCGGGAAACTCTGCATTTCTTGTGTAAGACTAATGTTTTTAACACTGATATACTTAGCGATTTATATTCAACATTGACATTAAGGCATAAAATGGCCATATGCCTAGGCTAGGAGTGTAGGAGGACTGTTCCTGCCTAGCTAGAATATCCCTGCCTAGGCCTAGGCGGTAGTCTGTAGAAGATAGGCTAGGGCCTAGCATGGAGGAATTTGAGGCCTAGGCTAGGCCTACTCTCTAGGCTAGCCCTCCCCATAGGCCATAACTAGGGCCTATGCTCTCTAGGCCGTGCTAGCTACATGTAGGGACAGGCCTACCTGTAAGCTACTTTACAGTATAATCGAATTGTATATATTATTATATTATAACATTTTTTTTAGGTTTAATAATACGCCTTTTCCACGAATAGTTAGACATCCTTGAAGTGATGACAAACAAACAACCCAAGTCAGTGCTGCGTAACCAACAAAAATAAGATAAGCTTTGAGTTGAGGCTAAATTCTTGTCCTCATGTTTAGGGCACATAGAAAAAATTATTAGATTATCACTCCAGGGTTCGTATGCGTCCTTATTAAATTCCTGGAATATCCTCGAAAAACGAATGAGCATTTTCCAGTACTGGAAAGTCCTGGAAATTTATGATTGTCCTTCATTTCTTCAAATTTCTTCAATGTCCTGGAAATTTGATTATTTACCCATTTATTTCACATGATATATACGTAAATTCCAGGTCATGATTAAAATAAACTAAAAAATGTTCGTTTGCTTTTGTCTTTTCAATACTCATACACAATTAAAATACAGACCGTTGCCCGCATACCGTACTGTAGCTATTTCTCAAAAGTAGGGCGGCATGTCTATAGTATTACTTTACTCATGCGCGGCTCTCGCTCTTTGACGTTACACAAAGGAGACGCGTGTTGGGTACATGTAAGGGCACTAATAATTTTCGGTACTGTGAAATACATGCTAAATTTGGGCATGTATACACTGTCAACTGATTATGTACTATACAGCATATTTTTTTTTTAGCGCAGACTGGGTTATGGGAGCTGAGGCGTTGAAAACACGAAAGAGGCAATCTAAGCTAGATGAGCTAGATAATTTAAAGAAGAGTAAGAAAAGATGTATTGCGCTGATATTGAAGGTCTGAAAAAGTCATTCATAAGGTTTGCTGATCAGGCCGAGAGTAAAGGTAGTCTGACCGTATTGCCAAAAGCGAACAGCCTGCGCGTCGAACTGCCGCTGAGAAAAAGTCATTACTGGCAGAAATTGAGGCGAACATTGCTTCAAAATTAGAAGAAATAAAAAATATGTAAATCCAGAAACTACCATACCTATGACATTGTTTCAAATAAAGTGGATTTTTAAAAGGAATATGCTGTCATTTTTGTGTTGCTATTCTGTGTTAAATTTAGTGCTTGCAAATGTTGATAATTCAGTTTTACAATGTACAGTATATATTTGCTCTACGTATAAACAAATGCAATCATCACAAACACATCGTACGTTAACATTTGCTGTATAATAGATTATAAAAGTTTACATAGGTTTATAATATTAATTATAAATAAAAATAATAACCATGAATACAGAGATGAAATAAACAACTTCGCAATGTACAATTAAACAAGTTTCAACATTTTAATGACCAATATGTATGAAATAACAATTAATATCTCTGCAACATGCACCCAAAACGAAGGAGATTAGGACACTGTGGGCCTATATTTATATTGCTTAGCAATGTCAACATCGCCACAGCTCCTTTCATGTAAATTGTTGAACAACCCGAGACAGGCGTACACTCCACCGAGGCGTCACAATGGAATCAAGTTATTACTTACCACAAAGCCACCGACAGGTTTAGTGATAAGACCATGTTGTACGTGCACATTTTTGTTGCCTAGCAGAGAATCAGGTCTGCTGTAGTTAACTGTGGGCTCTGTCTTACTTGCCACACTCGGATGAATTCCTTTGCTTATTAGCACACGTGTGAGACAAACAGAATTTCCCACGAGCGTGAGAAAAAGACACCGATCTATCACCTCTGAATTAGATTTACGTAAAACTTAATATGCAATCAACCAACAGTCTTTACTGTGATGGAAACAACTAAATTGATTTACTAAATAAAAATATGCATAAGAACATCTTGCAATTAAAATTAGTACAGCATGCATGTTGTATAACCAGTCGTAAAATTGGCAAATTGTTCTACTTTTATAGTAACAAGAGATATTATGAGTCCTTGAAATTCGGAAAATTTGACCTGGAATGTCCTGGAATTGTCCTGGAAATTTGCTTGTTTAAACAATAGGTTATTTCGCTTTTGTTTTTATCAATGAGGGAGGGACTGTTTATATTTGGCTAGTAATAGTAAATATTGTATAAAATCTGGTTTAATTTTATAGTTTTTCAAAGAAAATGTATTTGAAGTCACCAAATTGCATTGTTATATTTGTTATTTTTATGCTGTTGAAATAATTGATGCGGCAAAAAAATTTTTTTTTTTATTTTTGCATCAGTATTTCCCGAAGTTTTGATGCTGACGGGAGTGATAATCTAATAAATTTTTCTATTTGCCCTTATTTGAAAATTCATAACTCCTAATGGAGTGTCGTATCACATTAATTTTTTTTTGGAAAATGTTGTCTAATCTGGTGGTAGCCACTGTGTGTGCGCTGGACCGTGGAAATCTCTAGGTCCCCGGGTTTTGATGCAGGAAATCATTTTGAAGTCTTACGGTAACAGAAACAGTACAGTAGTCTTACTACTACTAAGTACTACCGTACTGTATGCATAGGCCTATTTTAATACACTAATTAGAGGCTCATCTTTTTCCATCTTGATTTCAGAGGTTAAAAACATTTTCAATTTTTTTCAATCATAGTTTTTTTAGAATAGTCTTTTAAGAACATTTTCCAAAAAAAATTAATGTGATACAACCCTCTGTTATGGAGCTATGAATTTTTAAATAACATGAGGACAAGAATTTAGCCCCAAAGCTTATCTTATTTTTGTTGGTTACTTACCAATGACTTGGGTTGTTTGTGATCGCTTCAAGATGTCTACCGATTTGTCGAAAAGGCAAATAATTGTTTTCTTTAATATATACGAACATTAAAAAATTGAATTTGATTGAGTAGGCTAGGCCTATGCATATGCCTAATATCATATTCATAAACTATAATCATTAAACTTCAGAGCAACGCAAACTTTTACACATGACTACACACACAGTGAACAATTAAATTAAATTATCTTCTGTGGAATGCTGAAAGGTGCTAGAAAAATTAAATTCAATAGTTGAAATTCCTAGTTTACTGAAGTATTAGTACTAGGGCCTAGTTTAAAATAGGTTTCTATTTAAAAGTGAATGATGAAATATATTCGCCTCATCAATTAAGAGATGAATAAATGATGATACAGATATAGTTCCTACCTTGTGCATGCCCTTCAAATGTTAATCAGTGAAAATTTATTGGTTAGAATTATTGTTTTATTGGAAATTAATACGGTAACTTACTTGATTATTTCAAATAATATGAACAGTGTTCTAATTGTTGAATTTTTACAGTTTTTCCAGATGTTATGACAGACGGCACATCTTGTTCCATAGACATTCCTATGGCAAGGGTAAAAATGTATGTAGAGGTCCAATATGTGCTAGCTTTATATTATTTAATCAAACAAAATCTTTGTTTATCACTTAGACACTGAGATAGTGTACAACTGATGTTTTAGCTAGCAGCGGTCAGCATGGAAACAAATGAAGCAAATGGAGATGGTGTAGCAGCAAAGGTTATTACTACAAATAATACTGCAATGTCTCCACCCCCAACAACAAACAGTGCTATACCACGACTCATGATAACAAAAATAGCCAACGAGAACTTCAAGTCTTATGCCGGTAAAGTAGTACTTGGGCCATTTCATAAGGTTGGTTGTTAATATGATTCTATTTTCCCTACAATCATTGTTTTTTTTATATATTTTATAATTTTCTGTAAAATTTTCAATATATCTGTAATAACCATTTTCTTCGAAAGTTTTTTTTTTATATTTACTGTAATATTAAATATTATAATTCTTAATTTGAATTAGATTTTTTCATATATTGTTATTTACTTAAAGGAATTATTTTGGGCTGGGAAGCTTCAGATGTAGAAGATGCCCGCAAAACCTTCACTGTTGTCAAGATATAATGGCCCCTGGTGATGCTGTCTTTAATGGCGACCCAAACGCAATTTGACATACTGAAATCTTCTGGGAAATCAGAGATGGTTCAGCAGTCACTTTGGCAATGCAAATTAGGCAACGGATGGCGCATGAAGTAGGCCAGGCAAAAGTAGATGCTTACTAATCTAGCAATTTTCCTACCCTAGTCTATTAAATACCTGTCTCTTATACACATCTAGATGTGTATAAGAGACAGGAGTTTTTCTTGCATTGTTGGTCCCAATGGAAGTGGGAAATCCAACGTAATTGACGCAATGTTGTTTGTGTTTGGCTATCGTGCATCCAAGATCCGATCAAAGAAGATATCAGTGCTTGTTCACAAATCAGATAATTTTCCCAATCTCAACAGTTGCACAGTAGCTGTTCACTTTCAGAAGATTATAGATTTGGGAGTAAGTAACATTCTAGTTGTGTTTTTTTAATACCTTAATTATTTGAATAACCACCCCCCCCCCTTATTTGAATAACCCCCCCCCCCCCCCACTTTGAATAAACACCCCCTCGAATAAGAGCCTCATTTGAAATATTGGCCTACACTTCCCTTGAATAAATGCCCTGAGGCATTTATTTTTTCCTCAAATAAATGCCCCCTAAATGATTGTAAACAAATCTAATGGAAGTAACACATTCCATTTATGTTCTACTCCAGTAGTTACATTTTTTCTAACCTGGTTGGGATCAATATGATCACATTTGGATGGTAATATATGTGTTGTTGTTCCACATTTACAGTGAAATTAAGGGACGTTTATTTGATTTTATAAGTGAAATTGTAATATTTTTTCATAATGTTGTCGTCGTTGCTGTTGTGGTAAATTGTTTTTTTTTTCAATAACAATGTTAAGTGCAACACAACATTGCTTGAATTTTAAGTAAATTTCGTTGGTTTTTTTTTTAAACAAGGTTCTGGCAGTTGATTGATAAATGGGCCTATCTAACTGATATATATCCTTTTATTATTTTCCAGCCTGGTGAAGATGAGTATAGCATTGTGCCAGGAAGTCAGTTTGTGGTTTCACGTACTGCGTTCAAGGACAACACAAGCCAGTACCATCTGGATGGCAAACGTGTACAGTTCAAAGAGGTCTCTGTAAAGCTAAGAGAAAGTGGCGTTGACTTGGATCACAACAGGTTTCTAATATTACAAGTATGTAGGAAATTAGTTTAACCAAAGAGTGTAGCATAGAGGGATTCTGCGATTGGCGTCATGTGACCTAACTTGGGTGTTGGATATAAATAGTTGACTGGCACAGCAGTGTTTTACATGGAGATTGCTATGCGGTCGTCCCTTGTTTATTGCTGTAAAGATCATCATCAATTCCCAGTAAACTATACCAAATTGATTGGAAACTTAAGAATTTTGCCTTAACGGTTTGCTAGTGCTATAAAGAATACTGGCCGCAAACATTGAGATTTTTTTGACAAATGTTAGGCCTAAGCCCCTGCACATCTGTGGCATGGTTAGGTATGCACGATGGTCTTCAACCCGCGAACTAGGATCAGCTAAGCTTTATGAATGACCACTGTAATTTCAAAGCATACAATTTAAGGAGAATGCTAGAATAAGTAAATACAGTAGAACCCATCATTTACATACGGCACGGGCCCAGAACGTAAATGCGGGTATTCGTAAAATCGGTGTTGACCCAAATTCCTATATATTTGCACTGGTACTACTTACACTGGCATAAACTAGGCCTAGGCTAGGCCTACGCAGCTAAGTCTGAGGGGGCCTAGGCCTACAGTAGGCAGCTTCTAAGCATTCTGATCCCACTCTAGGCCCTACACAAATTTGGTTTTATCGGACATTTTACCTTCTTAAATACCTAGATTGTGGATTTTACTCCAGCACAACTTCCATAGATACTTGTTTATTATATATATTGATCATTCAATAAAACAATCAAGCACTATGTTGAATTTTAAAGCTGAAAACAATGTTTGAAAGAGCAGTAAAATTTGTCGCATGCACATGTGTGAAGCCATAAAAAACACTGACTTTGAAGAAGCCCGTTAGAGGGCCTCCTTCACTTGAGAATTACATAGTACTGTATAGTATGGTGTGTTGTGTTGTATGCATGCTAATAACAGTTACAATTCGAGTGGATTTTATTTTTTTTTTAATCTTTCACTTAAATTTTTGTGGCGTCATCACCTTTATTTTACGTTTGTAAAATCAGGAATTCGTTAAATCAGGGTTCGTTAATGAGGGTTTCTACTGTAAACACTATTTTGAACAAATGTATTGCCTTATCTAGCCATTTACTTCTCATGTTAACAGTAAGTGGTTGTATTCGCAACCATAGCATTATCTTTTCCTATGATTTCGCACTAATATTTTTCATGTATACCCAAGTTAGGTCACATGACCGCATGTAAACAATCATCGCTGAATCCCTCTATTGCAAGAGGTCTGACTGTATCTCGAAAAGTACTACCATGAACTAGTGCAGGGGTGGGCATAAAAATCGGTCGGAGGGCCAATGTGAATTTTCAATTTAACTCCGAGGGCTGCATCCAAACTTTGATGTTTCCAGTGACCTTCCAGAAACCTCCAAGCACTGCTTTTACACCACTTTATTCTGAGTTTTATTGTTACTTTTTATATATGTTCGGTGTCGAGCGTGAAAAACAAGGTGTTTTCTATCCAATGTTGCTTGGCAGGCCGCACACAGCGTTTTTAATTTCTATTTGCGAGCTGCAAAAAATCGCTGTGTTTGTTTCGAACTCTATTCGAATTGTAATAGGTAGTCATGGTAGTAATTGTAATAGGTAGTCATGGTAGTAATTGTAATAGGTAGTCATGGTAGTAATTGTAATAGGTAGTCATGGTAGTAATTGTAATAGGTAGTCATGGTAGTAATTTTAATAGGTAGTCATGGTAGTAATTGTAATAGGTAGTCATGGTAGTAATTGTAATAGGTAGTCATGGTAGTAATTGTAATAGGTAGTCATGGTAGTAATTGTAATAGGTAGTCATGGTAGTAATTGTAATAGGTTGTCATGGTAGTAATTGTAATAGGTAGTCATGGTAGTAATTGTAATAGGTAGTCATGGTAGTATTTCACTTTTTTTATTTAAAATTATTTATTTGAAATACAAATGTAGATTTATCTTTATATAAATTGTTTAAAAGTAGTTATACATCAGTAACATGGTTTAATTATTTTGAATTTGTGGTGTATTGTGATGTTGCCTAAGGCTTTCACACGATTTTCAAACACCTTAGTAATGAAATGTTTCTTATTGTTCTGCTCTATTGAGTTCGAGTTGATATCATTAATGGAGCCCAAGGCTTTCTTTGCATTATTCTCAAACATTGAATAAATTTAAAGCTTGTTGGTGTCCTAGGGTGAGGTTGAGCAGATATCACTGATGAAGCCCAAGGCTTTGACAGAGCATGAGGAAGGAATGCTGGAATACTTAGAAGACATCATTGGCAGCAACAAATTCAAAGAACCAATTGAAGAGATCAGCAAGAAGGTAGAGGAGCTCAATGAAGAAAGAGGCGAGAAGGTGAGGAAGATATATATTTCAATATTTGAGATTTATGTACCAGTGTCCCTACCATCAGAGTGCAAGAGTCAAGATTCATTTATTCCTCATTCATAACACATATATACTCAATATAGTACCGGGAAAGACCATTTTTTTTTTATTGAGTACTGCATGCAACCATGATAGAAAATATAACTGCTTATATTCCTCATAGATTTGTTGAATAGTTGTGTCGTGTTGATCAAAGGTTCAATTTTTTTTGTTCAGTTGAAATAAGCTGTAAGAGTTGGACCCTCAGTTATCCATTAATTTAGCCTCTGTTTGAGACTTGGAGAGTGGAGCTGAACAGTTCAGCAATTTAATTTAAAAATTCTTTATATTAATTAAATTGTGAGGAAAAAATACAAAATCCTTTATTGACAGGTTTAATTGAGGCGCAGGCATTTTTTCCTGTAATTTTTTTTTTGTGGCAGTGAGTATACTTAACATCACAAAGTAAAATTTTGGTTTGATTCCAAATCAATAAAGGCAAGAAATTGTTGTCAAACAAAGGTATAACATTTTCCTTCCTAGAATAATTTTGTTTAAATGTTTGTGTTTTCAGTTGAGTCGAGTGAAGGCGGTTGAGTCGGAAATGAACCAACTGGAAGAGCCAATGAAAGAAGCGGAGGAGTTCCTACGAAGCGAGAATCAAATCACACAAAAGAAAAACAAATTATTTCAGAAATACATGTGAGTTTCATATTATTTTTACTTATGTTTTCATTATAGATGCATTGTCCCATGAAAAATATAGAGAAAAATCATTTTTTAAATTAACTTGCTTATAACATAGAAATCATCCACTTGATCATAAAATTTTATGTATTTAAAACATGCTAACCCATAATTTTTTAGTGAAAAATGATAGAAACAATTCCAGTCACTGGAAGTGTTACAATTTTTATCATTGTCCAGTATAAGAATACACATTTTTTTTTTATTCAATACTTTCTCTGCTCAAGTTAATAATGTGTACGTTTTAATGCAAAATGATTAAGTTAATTTCAAAATTTGTTTTCATGATTTATTGTCATCTGGAAAATAAATCTTTAAGATTCATAATGTTTTTGTTCTGTTAATTTTACTGATTGGCATTTATTTGAATTCTATTGGCAGACATGAGTGCTCAGAAGTCTCCAAAGAAGTTGAAACCAAAAAAAATGAGGTTGAAGAAAAGATGAAAAGTCTGCATGAAAACTTGACACAACTGACAGAAAACAACAAAATCAAGGGGAAGGATCACAAGAAACTTTTCAAGTAAGAATATAATGAATCCACATTGTTGTAATGTATGGATGCAAGGTTAGTGCCCCATCCAGATTTTTATGGGCAGCGGTACTAAATACAAAGGGAGGGAACATAATGCATTAAAAAGGGACAGAATGCAGATGGAAGAGAAGATTCTTTGTGACTAATTGTACTACTTGTGGTAGCACTCCACAGATTTCAGATTAAATAAGCTAGTGAACTGCTTCAATGTTCTAATTCTTTCTTGTTATCTAGAGGGATTTCTGTAAACAGTATATTTTTTTTTTTTTTAGAAAATATGAAAAATTGTGTGAAGAGGGAGCCAAGAAAAAGGAAGAGTTTGCTGAATTTGAGCGACAGGATGTCAAATGTAGAGAGAATTTGAAATATACAAAAGAAAAACAAAAGAAATTGATAAAATCCCTGCAAAAGGAAAAAACTAAGGTAAGAAAAAAATGAAGATAAAATTGGAGGATTAGTAAGGGTGAAATAAATATGTCAAAATGTTTGCCTAAGCCCAACCGACCCAAAAGTCTAGGGTCAGCTATATTTTTATTAAAAATATTTTCTAAGGAGGAGCCAAATATCCTGGTGGTTTGTCAGATAACCATATTTCATGCTAAGAATTATCTGTAACGTAAGTTTTATCCACACAAATTTTATAATGAGAGAAATAAAAGTAAATTGCCCATATATGGGTATGACATCATTGTGCCCAATAATGGATGTGAAATGAGATCATCGTGCCCATATGGACAATTTACACAAGTTGACACATTCAAGTTGATGGTTCAGGTAGAGCTTTAACCATGGGTTTAGCCCTGTGATTACAATTTTACCAGCCAAATATTAATAATCATTAGCCATGAATTTTAAAATTATGCTTACTGTAAATGCTCAAATAAGCGCCGCTCTCAAATAACCACTACTCTCGAATAAGCGCAGCACCAAATGTGATTTTGTTTGCTAAGCATCACTCTGGAATAAGCACCACGGCGCTTGAGAGTACATTTTTACCTTGTGTGTAATAAAACACTTTAAGAAACAGGGTTTTAAATACAATGTAGACATTGTTCAAATGAATAAATAACATCGTGAAGACACAAGCATATCTTTCTAAATGTTTATTTATGATGATAAGTAGGGCCTATGAAAGGTACCGAACTATGGTAATATGTGAGATAGGTAACATGGGAACAGGCATGAACAGCGCCACACTAATATTTTTTTAATAAGCGCTGCTCTTGAATAAGTGCCACACTGAAGCCTCCAATAATTTATATTGAGCATTTGCAGTAGTCCCAAGTAAGCAAATATAAACTCGGATTGGCCCTGACATGTGCTTGAACAACACTAAAGTTTAAAGCTAAAGAATATATGAATTTTAAAATGTATGCTTACTGTAAATGCTCGAATAAGCGCAGCACCAAATGTGATTATGTTTGCTGAGCATCACTTTGGAATATTCAGTATTATTTATGTGGCTGTAATAAATCAACTTGTATTTGTTTGCAGTTGGAGGATTTACGTGGTGGATCAACAGACAATGAGAAAGTGATTGAGGAGATGAAAGAAAAGAAAGATAAACTTGAAAGTCAATTAAAAAAAGAAGAGGAGAAAATGAGTGAAATCATGGCATCTCTGAAAACTGCAACCACAGATTTACAAGAAGAAAAAGAGGTGAGTTCACATTGCCAAAGGTTACAGGGGTCCCAAGTTGGGAGGAGCCATTTCCGGGAGATTTGGTTAATGACATAGGGGAGGGGGGGCTCTAGGAAAAAGAGCCACTCCCACATCAGCCCCGACATGGAAGGGGAAAGGTGAGCAAATTTTTAAGAATAGCCATGGTCTATAGAAGCCCGAAAATGGCAATGTTAGACTGTAAAAACTACTTTCCAAATCAGTTTTCTGATGAACTGATTGGTTTCTTAGTTGTGTAGTAGTGAAAAACCTATATTAGCTTCCTTTATACTAAATTTGCTGGAAATGAATTCATTTGTGGGAGATTTTTGCTTGTTCACGGGAGACTACGAATTTCCGGGAGGCTTGGGACGTTTGAGGTTATAAGTTTATTGGTTGTGTTCACATTATCAGAGCATCTGATTTTATTAGGTAAGCTTATATTACCTCAGTTCATTGAACATCACATCTATTTTATGAATACTTACCTAGAAAAACCACTAAATGCACCATCCAAACTGACCTCTTGAAAGTACTGGAATTGCCAATCCAGATGGCTTGTATCAAAATGCCATTGTACTGCCTCATTTTCTTTTCGCGGTCATAAAATTTATGTCTTATGATTTTACTAAGCCACTGGAACATCACTGTTGATATAAATGTTTTGGTCTTTTAATTGCCATTGGATCTGAATTTGAATAAAAAAGTATTGATTTTTGCAGGAAAAGGAAAAAGAACTGACAGAGATGCAAGATGGTGTGAACCAGGCCAAGTCACTCAAATCGGAGGCAGAATCCAGGCTAAATATTCAACAGGAAAAAGTGGATGAATTGAAAGGAAAATTAGAAAATATGACGACAAGTTTAGAAACAGCAAGTAAAGTTCTAGATGAAAGAAAAAGGTATTCAACTAAATTGTTGTTTTTTTTTATCGAAATATCTATCTATCTTGCATAGAAATACATTTAATGTGTGTGAGACTTCTACTATATATGACAGGATTCGTACAGGTTATGGAAAGTTTAATGTAATTGGTAACCAATCATAATAACCAGGCACAAAGTTAAATATGTAAAGGAGATGAATTTTGTAATGCATTTTAGATAATTAATTTAAAGATTTGACAACATGATGATTGGTTTTTTTTTTGCACAAGCTCTGTCAAAGACCTTGAAGTAGAGGTTCCAGAACTGGAGAAACGACTTGAGGAGTCCACAAAGCTTCTGGCAGCAGCAAAAGATACAGATTCTAAGTCTTATCAAAAGGTTTGTCATCTAACATCCAAGATGCAAGTATATCGATATATAATTATGTAACACTCCAAAAGACATCAAATCAGATTAATGGTTTATGTAAAGCAGCATTTGTATCGGTTGTATCTTTTGAAATGTTTTTGCCACTTACTATATGTGTGGCAAGGACAAACCAAACCAGTCACTCGTCGCAAAAATCGATTTTGAGTTATTAATACAGTGTTAGAGAGTAAAATAATAGCTATAAAATGGTAAAAATATCATTCAAATCGGACATTTTCTTATGAAGTTACAAGCGTTTAACCACACAGCTGTTTAAAGAACAATATATGAGAAATTAACCGTCAAAGTTTATGATTTCAGGCATTTCTCATGCAGAAACTATTTCAGGCATTTCTCATGCATAAACTATCTTTAAATCCTTAAAAAATATTGTTTTAACATTGAAAATGTCGAAAATAACAGCATAGAATGATGTGTAGATATATAAAGGTTAGTTTAGTGCAATAAAATAGATTTTTAAAAATTTGACATTCCAACATGTTTTGGCCATTTTCTCTGAAAGACGATTTGCGACGAGTGACTGGTTTGTCTTGTCTTTGCCACATATAACACAGTGATTAATTTCACTATTGGCATTCTTTGGTCTAACTCACAACTTTATCCAAAATGCCAAAAACATTACACTGCGCGTCATGTTCCAAAAACCATATTGCATGCAATTGCCATCTTCTGTATCCTGACAGGCCCTGATTATGTTAATTTCTATTCACAGTTTAGAGATTTTTCTGTGAAGGTTGGTGAAGCGCAGAATTCCCTGCAGTCATTCACTAATCGAGGTGCAGTGTTAAGTGCTTTAATGGCTCAGAAGAACAATGGAAACATACCAGGAATCCATGGAAGATTGGTAGGATAAACATAAATTTGATGCTTTAAGCTTTTTTAAACCATTAAACCCCCCAGCCCCCCTTTCCAGTTTGCTATATATAGTCGGCTGATATATGAAGTGATGTGATGGTATGGTCTCTTCAGGCATATACCAAATTTGTTTGAGGCAAATTTTAACAATTGTGAGTAATTAAACCATAGTAAAAAGCAGTACAGCTGATGTTCCGTCAGTGAAGATATGCGCAATGCACAGTGACACATGAGCTGCACCTAGTCAGCATGTGCATAGATCCTTGCTAAAGGACCTACCTTAGAAGGCTTAACAGATGTCTGTTGTCCTTACATGCATTTTACATTTGCAAGCATGATATAACACAGATGAATTTAGCAAGGGACACACTGTTAAAATTTTCTTATCAAAGGAAGCATGTAATATTTTTTTCTGGCTTGAATCAGGTGTTTGGGAGAGGAGGTGTTTTTGTAGTCATGAGAGAAAAATTATTTGTTTTTTTAATAATTATTTTATTTTAGAAAAGAAAATGATTATTTCTTACAGGGTGATCTTGGCTCAATAGATGAAAAGTATGATGTGGCCATATCAACTGCCTGTGGGGCCTTGGACTATATTGTTGCTGACAACTTGGAAACGGGAGAAAAATGTGTCACGTTTTTACGTGACAACAACATTGGACGTGCAACATTCATTGGATTGGATAAGGTTATGTTTTTTTAAAAAAACATGTATTGAATAATTTGCAAACCCTGTATTATATCCAAAATCTAAAAAATCTATAATTAGCTTTTTTTTCTTTTAAAGAAATACTTTTATGATGTCTCAAAGAGCCCATTTTCAAGCTTTAATTGATTAATAATTTGATACCTTAACTTGCATTTTGGCACTGTGTTTACCAACATGCTTTAGGTGAGTCATGGTTAATCCTAAATCTAAAATTAGGTTTATTTCAATAGAAAAAATGCTGATAAACGCAGATTTCTTAACTTTACTCTGCTTGGACAATGCAACATGTGCTTTAATGCTAATGATAAATTATTAACGTAATTGATAGAAGGTAAAAATGGTTATGTTTTATTTTTCAGATGGAGCATTTGAAGAAGGCATCATGTACAAAGATCTCAACGTAAGTATTAACTAACAAATCACAAAGAATTGTTTTACTAATTGAATTAGCTATTTCTATTATATCCTTACTATTATTTAGTGTTAGTATTGTTGTGGTGGTTGTTTTTTAGGATTATTTTTTTAGCAACTTTAAATTGTCCGGAGACGAGCATTTTCGAAATAATTTTGAATTGGGTTGTTCTAAATAAACAGGTCAGTACTACTGTAGTAAATGAACACTAGAGGTGAGCAAGTGTGCACTGATTTAGAGTATCACTTTATCAATATCTTTTGTATTTTTTCAGGCCTGATAATGTTCCCAGACTTTATGACCTGGTGAAACCGAAAGCTGAGATGTTCAAGACTGCTTTCTACTATGGCCTTCGCGACACTTTGGTTGCTAAAGATCTTGATCAAGCCACAAAGATCGGTCTTCAAGGTACAAAGCGCCACCGTGTGGTCACATTACAGGGTCAACTTATCGAAACATCTGGTAGGTTTTGTAGTTTAGATAAGTTAAAATTTGTACATGCCTAGAATTATTGTTTACCAGATTATTCCAGACATTAATGGATTTAAAAAATAACATAATTTGATCAATTTCTTTATAATCTACAAACTAAGGTGTATTTACACAGAGCATGACAATGGCACAAGACAGCAGGAGAAAAAAATAGAATCTTTTGTATTCTGTATGTGTGATGTTATGCACTGTGAATGGATTACTCCACGTGACAAAATATTCTGTTGCTGATGCATGCTACTGTCAGGTTTTTTTGTAGAAGTTTGGTTGTTAAATGGTACTGTATTTGCTATTAGGTACCTTGAGTGGTGGTGGTAAACAAGTATCCAAGGGACGCATGGGGTCAAAGATGGTAACTGATATTACGCCTGAACAACTGGCTACTATGAAGGAGGAGTTGGAGCAGATCAAAAATGATTCTCAAAATCACAAACAGGAGTTTAGACGTCTGGAGGAGGAGGTTAACCATTTACAGAAGAGTCTGACTGAAAAGAGGCTAACACTTAAGAAACACATGATGGATATAGATGTGAGATCTTTTCTTCATTTGCCAATTATTTTTTTAATCAAATCTTATGTAAACATCAAAAAGCAATTTCATAAGGAAAAATTGTGTGGGAAAATTCAATTAAAGTTAAGTTCAGTTAAAGTTTAGAATAGTTTATTTAAATAGGACAAATAATTTATTGACTTGCATCCAGAAACGGATTGAAAAGATACATCTTTAATAAGCAACATAGTGTTTAGCAAGAAGAAATTATGTTTGATTCAAGAGAAGCGCTTACACAATCATATATGATAGCTTTGTAAACCCTTATGTTTGTGTTTTCAAATTAGTTCAAAGCAAAACATGAGGCTACTTTAAAGGAACAGATCAAGGAGGCTGAGAAAGAGTTTGCAGGACTCATGAAGAACACCAACTTCAAAGAATTGGAGAAGAATGTCAAAAAATTCGCTGATGGTAAATAGATAAAAATGTTAATTGTAGTTAAAGATGTAATGTTGGTCCATGCGCACACCATCGGCCAGCGCATCCATGCATTTTAAGAATGCTTAGTGACACAGCAGCAGTTTGCTGACTGAGGTGACAGTTTGAATGAATGATGCTTTTAAATGATCCATCTTGCTACACTTTGTTGCATACTTATGGAATCAATCCTACGCCGACACAGTGTGCAGCGGACTTTTGGCATAAAATCGTGTTAAAACATTGAAAATTCAATTTAAACCTGAAATAGCTGAGTTAAAGTATCAAAGTTGTTTTGTTACAATAGGACAAATTATTTATTGCTGATGTATTGACTTTTTACTACATAACAATTTTAATTGATTTCCAGTCAATTTAAGGGTGTATACAAAAGAATATTGAAACAGCATTGATAATGCGTCTGGTAATTAACAAATTGTTGATTCAAAGCTAGTGACTTTTCTTGATACAAAAAGCAATTCCAACAGTGACTTTTATTACCAAAGTTAATCCGCTCAACCAAAACTGAATACCCAAGACAAACAGGAAAGAAGTGTGATGAAATCACAGCACACATTAAAACTACTACTCTTTGTACTACCGAGTACATAAGACCTCTGCATTAATAGTTTATGATGTAAATATGATTTAGTTTATAAGCAAATTTAGTCTAATTTTTCATCCATAATTTCTTTTAGCTTATGATAAGGTGTACTCCAGGTTTGCAAAAGTGGAGTCACAGGTGAAGAGTCTTCATGACAAGATAATGGAGGTTGGAAATAGCAAGATGAAACCACAGCAGACGAAGCTCAATAAACTCAATAAAGAGATTGAGGAGGCCAATGATGCTGCCCTCAAGGCTCAGGTGGCAATCAAGAATTCCAAAAAGTAAGGTTTTTGTCAGTGAATGAATAATTGAGAAGGTTAAAGAATAAATAAGTGAATGAGAGCAATAGCAGAAACAATTGATAAGATAAATAGAAGAGTAGAGTAGGCATAAAAAAATTATAATATTGCTCATTGTGGTTAAGAATATGAGGTGGCTGTAATGTTTATTTATCACATATAAACAGGCCTGGAAGAAGTTTGTGACCAGCGGTTAGATGCTTTGCATGTTTCTCTGGAGGCACTTCTTTGACTGACTTTAAAAAAATATGTTAGCTAAACAAGGTATTAAAGAAGTCTCGCCTTTAGTATTTATTGATAATGATACACTAACTGTAGACCAATTTATTAGAATGTGATATTTATGGAAATACGACAATTTATATTGTTTTGAATTTTATATAACATGTTATGGTTATGAAATGTCAACTATTTTAATTCAGCTAATGACCTGTCTCTTATACACATCTGTGATGTGTTTGATATTCAAATTAACACCTTTGTTTAATTCCAAATAAGGAATGCCTTTGATATTCAATTTAATTCCTTTATTAATTCCAAATAAGGAATGTATTTGATATTCAAATTAACACCTGTCTTAATTCCAAATAAGGAATATCTGATATTCAAATTAACACCTCTTTCAATTCCAAATAAGGAATGTCTGATATTCAAATTAACACCTCTTTCAATTCCAAATAAGGAACATTAAAAGAGCAGAGGATAAGGTAGCATCAATGGAAAAGGAGGAGGAAGAGAACGCTGAGGCCGTCAAGAAGATTGAGGAAGAGTTCAAACATCTGGAGGACGAGGCCACAAATGTGCTGCAATCTTTCCGTGATGTTGAAGAACGAATGAAAGAAATGCAGGAGGCGCTGGATCTTAGTAAACGTAAGTAGCATTTATATTGAACAGATGATGACGACAACGACGGTTGGTGGTAATGATTTTGATAGTGGATTGGTTGGCACAGTGGTTGTGATTCAGGCTTTTAATCTTGTTCAAACCCTTGCTGCAAATTTCACTAGAGTTGTCGGACAAGGCGCTATACTTACCCAGGAATACAAGTGGGTACTTGGTAGGCTCAAGCTCCAGTGCACTGATTACTAGCAGCAATATAAAATTCACACCCAGGGAGATGAGTATGTGCACCAGACATTCATTCCGTCATGCGACCGTCGGCCGATTAATCCAACTCTTTCAATGTGAGCGCTAGTTGACACAACATTAGCAGGTTTTTGTTGGCAGTTTAAATGCATCGTCATTAAAAAAACAATCCACTGTGCAAGCGCTGCGGCGTTGCATTCTCCATAGAACCGTGTCATCCGACAACTGTTGGGTGCTGTGAATGCCCGGCTTAAGTTTGTTTCAGTGACTGGGGTAATAACTTTAAGTATCTAGAGGTCTTGATTCGCATGATGTACTACATAAAACCAGAATATTTATTGTTATAGTGGTAATCTGCTTTACCTTTACAGAGGAATTAAACAAAATTCAGGAAGAAGAAAATGAGTTAAAAGCAAAAGAACTTGAGGTGAAATATGAACTGGAAAAGTATGTTGATCTTGTGAAAGAAAATCAACAGAAAACAAAACACTGGAAAAAAGAGGTAATTTACTAATCAACAGTCAAAATACTGTATTGTTTATTTTATTATTGTTATTTTTGTAGTATGTATTATCATATATAATAATAGGCAACCATCAGTTGTACACAAACCTGTATTTTACTTACAAATATCAAACTTTTATTCACATTAATAATTTATTTACTCAAAATTTATTATTGATTTAAATTTATTCCGTGATTGTGATATTCCTTATTTTATTGTACAAAATAAATCCAATTTATGAACTTTACAGCTTATAGAGACATATTTAGTTTCTGAATGATAATTAAATTAAACAAATTCAAAAACATCTTCAATTTAGATCCAGAAGTTGTCACTACATAAGCTGCGTAACCAAGAAGAGGAAGAGAAGCTAGAAGAACTACAAGAAGAGGAACTAAATGAAGTGAATGCGGAGGAAGTACAATATGAAATTACTGTACTGGAGGAAAAACTCGCTGGAATGAAGCCCAACTTGGCAGCCATCCAACAGTACAAGAAGAAGGTAGACACTAGCTTTTATTGTTTTAAAAAATGGCCACCTTTTTTTACATTTTGTGTTGAATCAATGAATTTATTCAGATATGGACAACTGAAGAAAACCAAAAGACTTATTTCCATTGAGGGTCTGTGTTCCAACATGGTACTCTCCGAAGTGGTGTGCCATTTCCTTTGTTGACAAGATGGTTGTGTTGTCATTTACAACATATTATGTGAACCACCAATACCTACTATATCTCACCTCTTACTTATGTGGTGGTTTGTCCAACCAGGATTTGGCCTACCACATATATCCATTGTTGTCTATCCCTTGCTGTTATTGCCACTTAGTTGATCCAATAGTACACCTATCTCATCCATGTTTGCCAAGGTCTTCCTCAAGATTTTTCCTCTAACCATTCCTTCCAAGACGTGTCTTTGTATCTTATCTCGCCTCTCTACGGGTTAATTCATCCTTTGTGCATGTTTCATTCTTGCGTCAAATTGAAAATATATAAAAAATATATTATGCATGTTTGGTTATTTCAACAGGAAGAAGCTTATCTTCAGAGAGTTGGCGAGTATGATGAACTTACCGAAACGCGTAACAAAGAGCGGCGGAATCTTGAGGAGATGCGAAAGCAGCGTCTGGACATGTTCATGAAGGGATTCAGTGCTGTCAATGAATATCTGAAGGAGATGTACCAGATGATCACTCTGGGAGGAGACGCTGAGCTGGAATTGGTTGATAGTCTTGATCCATTCTCAGAAGGCATCGTCTTCAGGTTAGTCTAATCTTAACTATTAACTCATAATACTGGTGCTTAGGTACGGCTTTTTTATACCTTGTTTAGCGTACCAAACCCTTAGGCCAATGTAATGATGATTTTGATTGAAAATAAAATGGAAATTTTATTGAAAAAAAACAAATTTTTATTAATCGTTATTACTCCCTCTGCTCCCTTGAAATCTCCAAAAATAAGATATATTTATTTCTTCCTTAATTAAATTAAAATCATTATCAATCTTATTATTACAGTGTTTATATTCATCAATAAAATGTTATTTTATTTTCTCCTATGCGTAGATACTTTTGGCAAAAGCATTTTGATAAATACTGTAAGAAAACAAAATTTTGTTTTATTTTTTTCTGCCCTTCTTTGACTGACTTTAAAAAAATATGTTAGCTAAACAAGGTATTAAAGAAGTCTCGCCTTTAGTATTTATTGATAATGATACACTAACTGTAGACCAATTTATTAGAATGTGATATTTATGGAAATACGACAATTTATATTGTTTTGAATTTTATATAACATGTTATGGTTATGAAATGTCAACTATTTTAATTCAGCTAATGACCAATACTGTATTCCTTTCAGTGTCCGACCGCCAAAGAAGAGTTGGAAGCAGATTTGCAACCTGTCTGGTGGTGAGAAGACATTAAGTTCATTGTCCCTCGTGTTCGCACTTCATCAGTTTAAACCCAACCCGCTCTATGTAATGGATGAGATTGATGCTGCACTCGATTTCAAAAATGTCTCCATCGTCGGTCATTATATTACTGTGAGTATTATTTTAAGTAATAGTCCCACACGTTGACATTATAATGTAAGGATTTGGTGATAGTCATCCTGCTAATCTGTTGAAAAAATAAATATCCTGAAGTTACCAAGAGGTAGCTCTAGAAATTTGCTGACCGGGTCTGCAAAAGGCCAACATGGGGTGCCTAGATTTGGTTCTTGGTGTAGTAATCCCTATACACCTGAGATTAGCTAAACTAGGATGGATGACTGTGCAAGAGTGATTTCTACAGCCAGACAAAATAAATATAAGTGCTTGAAATTGACAATAAATTAAAATGAGGGTGCACTATATACAGACTTCAGTTCCATACAGACGAGTAATATCCCTGTATGGTGGTTGCCGAGTAAAACCCCTGTTAGTTTTAGTAAAAATCCCCTGACATTCTCCCCCTTTCCCCCTCTTTCCGAACCCCAGCTTATGCCACTTCTGAGGTTGCATCCTACAATTGACTGTATACACCCTTAATGATGATGCATCATTTTCATTGAAGATTCACATGGACTGCACTTGCACAGTATAGATAAATTCCAGACCAATGGTTTATATTGTAGCTGACTGTCTTGTTATCTGACTATGTTTGTCTTGGTTCCAAACAACTTCCTTTAATGTGTCTTTCAATTATTTATTTATTTATTTATTTATTCTTTATACTGGGTTACCTCTTCAGTAAGAAGTTACTGTTCTCCCAGAGGGCCCAGTACACATAAAACATTTAAATCTCAAGAAAAACAACACAGAACATCCAAAAAGAAACAAACACAAATTATGTAAAAAATTACCTACCCCCGCATTCCAAATTTGAGAACCCCTAAAAGTAAAACTACTTCTACCAGATTCAGTTCTGACTTTAGGCAAAATTAAATTTCCTGCAGAACTGGATCTGGTAGAATAGTTATGTACACTGTCAACTGAGGTAAAAGTGTTTTGGAGAGAAGGGACTCTGCCACTCAAGCATTTGTTAACAAGGGTGACTAAATGGTTATTTCTCCTTTCGTTAAGAAATGACCAACCAAGAGAAGTATGTAATTGAGATAAATTTGTTCAGTGATCAGCCTTAAATATAACACGTGCTGCTCTATTCTGTAATTTCTGTAATTTATCTTATAAACCCTTTCCACAATTTCCCCAAACAGAATCACAATAATCAAATAAAGGTAATATGAGAGATTTATAAAGATTTATAAATAATTAAATATTTTGTTGTGGAAAAATATATTATAGGTCCTTGAATTTTGTTTTGTGTTTAATGTGTTAAAAATGAACAAGGAATATATTTGGCTATTTCATAATATTGTCTATTTTAAGTCATAAATAAAAACATCACTGTTTAAGTAATGTTGAATTCTATTTTCTTGCAGGAAAGGACGAAGAATGCGCAGTTTATTGTGATCTCGTTAAGGAACAACATGTTTGAACTGGCCGATCGTTTAGTTGGAATTTACAAAATTGACAACTGTTCACGAACTGTAGCGATTAACCCAAAGAAATTGGCGGACACCACAGAAATAAGTGTAGAGGCCTAGGCAATGAATCAATGTTGTTGATACCTAGACTTTGTATATACTAAACTGAACTTGGCATGGAGGACAAATGCCTTAAATTTAGCTATGTAGAGGCCTACAAAAGCATGTAGATACATTGGAGCCAATGTGTTGACACTAATTTGAAAAAGGAAAATTATATAATATCAACTACTAATTTTTGCATTTGTGTCCCTTGCTGTGTATATTATTTATGTAATATGTTTCTTGTATTTAAACAATGAATTTTTGCTTGTTCAGACATTTATTGCTTGATCAGTAGACAGATTTCTATACTTTCAAGTTAATAGATTGTAAATTTATAAACAGATTTAGTGAATGTTTACCAGTTACTAAAATCATGATCTGCAATCTGGTAGTGAGAATAATAGTTGATTGTAGTTATTGCAAAGTTTGTCATCTATTTGGGGCTTGCCATCTCAAAATCAGCATCACTGACCAAAACAAGAAAACTCACTTATTAATATATTCTCCACATTATTTTATATGCTTTAAAATGATAAGTCATTTACTGAATCGACTTGCTATTGCCAAAATGATGAATAAAGGTATTTACAGCTTCTCTGTTCTAAAATGCTGCCACATTTTTACGCTAGTTACTCAGTTTAACATAGCAACTGTATGCTGGTTTTTGGATGGAAGCCTCATTTACTGTATCCTGATTGAGGAATATCTGGATTACATCATAATTATGATTTGAATAAACCTGTACACTTATGGCCAACAAGAATTGTTTTTCTCTCTGACCTTGGAATAGAAGTGTTTAGCGCACTCTGTGCGTAAAATTTATTTGCATAAATGCTCCACTTTGAATAAACTCCCCCTTGAATAAAATGCCCCATCCACAGCCTCATTTGGAATACCCCTCCCTCGAATATTTTTTTCCTCAAATTAATTCCCCTTCCCTGAAATGTAAGTAAACAAAATTTATGGAAGCAACATTATTCTGTACAGATTCTCCAGTAGCATTTTTTCTTACCTGATTGGGATCAATAAGTCTTTATGATCACAAAATAACACAAGTAGGCTTTATCATCTCGGTAAAATTAAATGTCAAAGTCACTGTCATTTGATTCCTGTTGATATGGGTTTTATAGACGTATAATATAGAAGTAAAAATATAGCCTGGGTTCCATGCATTAATTTGGGTGAAATACCCAACTCTATTGCGCTCAGTGCTCGCCATACCGAATTTTATTGGCGTCCCATACCCTATTTTTATTTTTCGGGTATAGAAGAATACTAGTAGAGCGCTAACTGCAATGTATTCGATGTTCGAAATACTGTGTGTGTGCCATCCAAGATGGCTGCCATAGATTTAGCCAATCAAATTTCGCCTAAGCGCCAGCATTTGCAATTGCGCCCTCAATTTACACAGAAAGTTCAGTAGCTAATTACCCGTATGTTTGAAACTCGAGCGTTGCGGTGTATGGGTGTAATGTATACGATTTTAATTTTCATTCCTTGGTACTTTATTTTTGAATAAGATGCTCCACTTGGCCTCGTTTTGGCTACGATAGTTTAATAATTTGTTATTACCATTACTCATTAATGGTTAATGAAATATAGTAATAGTCAATCAGAGGGCTTATTTATGGCAAGTATACTAAGCCTGAAGGTGGCGCTTTACTACGACGGCCATCTTGGATGGTACACATACATAACTGCATTAATAATAATAATATTTAGTGTTTCCCATTCTTGTCAGCACTCTAGTTGTTTAATATTAAAAACAGAGCCGTAGATATCTCTGATTAAAAATATGTACTAGCGCCCCCATCGACACTTTCTCTGTTTGTAATGGTCTGCTGGTTTTTTAGTTAGCATGTTCTTCTGTAATCGGTGTTTTGACAGTATGGTATCTGTCAATCGTTGTTTGTCAGACATATGTTAACGTTTTAATTATAAGATATGGTGTCTTCTAAGAGATGGAGGGGCTGGCTTGCTCTTGTCGGTGGAGTTCTTGTACATTTGACCATCGGAACCATCTACACATTCGGTAGGTATCCGTTCGATGGGGCTAGCTTTCTGGGTGACGGTGTGCCTCTGCTTTATACAGTATTTGATTTTCGATAATTGTTAAATATTAATTATTATTAAAAACGGAAGGAAGATTAGTAGCAATTATAGTATGTTTTTATGCCTTTGTACAGAAATACCAAAATATATAAATAGGTTAGGATATAAAATGTAAACAACAAATTTATTGCATGCTATTGATATTGTTAAATTTGATATTAATACTAGGCTTAATAGGCCTTTATCAGGAATCGGTAGACATGACAAACATTGCAAATCAGCGGTGCGTATTACCAACGTCGATTTTTTAATTGTTTTCAAATTTCTCCATTAAGGCTGGCCTGCAGGTTGGTTTTAGCAACATAAAAATAATTAATAATAATATGTCTTTAGTACTAAATGAAAATAGCCTTGTTGAAGTAATTCAAAAGATACGAAGCGGTTCATGTCTTGTTTTGAAAAAAAGTTTCAAGTTGTATACTGTACAATAAACAATACTATTGTGACGTAGACGGATTAGACCAAATAAAAACAAATTAGGCCTATATGTTGGCCACACCCGACCGACCCAAAATGTACGAAATTACAATTTAAAATACATCACCATCGCTCCAAGTTATCTCTATGATCTGGTTCAACGCCACTTACCTGTTCGCACTCTTCGTCCATCAAATCGTTTACCTACCAGCAACCTGCAACAAGACTCAAAACATATCTTTACAGAAGCTTTTAGTTTGAACCTACCAACCTGCAACAAGACTCAAAACATATCGTGACAGAAAATTTTAGTTTAACCTACCAACAACCTGCAACAAGACTAAAAAAATATTGTTACAGAAGCTTTAGTTTAACCTACCAAAAACCTGCAACAAGACTCAAAACATATCGTGACAGAAGATTTTAGTTTAACCTACCGAAAACCTGCAACAAGACTCGAAACATATCGTGACAGAAGTTTTTCCTCAATCGTGTCAACCCAGATCTGGAACACACTTCCATTGGAAACCTCACCAAACATTGACTGTTTTAAAAAGGCACTGAAGACTTAACTCTTTATATGATATACCTAACTTCAACTGGCAGCTTTCAGTGCTTTGAGGCTATTTTTTTGCATTTATTTATTTTATTTCAACAATCTTTAATGAGGGTGGTCCATCCAGCCGAAGCTGATCATTAGGGACCCTCAATACACATAGTAAAACAAAACAAAAGAGCGTATTACTGTAAACTAATTAAATTACAGTAAAATAAATAACCTCTCAATTCAAAATTTATATAAAGAATTAATTCAAAATTAAATAAAAAACTTAATATAAAAATTAAAATTAAATTACAATTAAAGATGTAAATGAAAGAGCAATATTAAAAAACAATAGGCAAAGGGACATTAAAACAACAAAGGGAATAAAGTAGCCTAAATAAAATAATCAAATAAATTAAAAATAGATAATAGGCCAATGTAAATGAGAACTATAAATCAAATCACTCTTAATTTAAAGAAAATAAATTAATTTAAATTAATAAATAAAACAGAAAATAAATAATAAGGTAGAAATCAAAAAAGAATTCTCAGAATTCTCGCATTAGGCGCTTTATAAATGTATTAGTTATTATTATTATTAAACAATTTTTAATTGAATTAATATTTTATATATATATATATAATATATAGGCCTATTGTAGGGTTCTTGATTCCCTGACCCCGGCAACTCTCTCCCGTCCGGAAAATTGGCCATTCTGATTCCTCTCTTCCTAGTCGGGAACATTAGACCTGATACCGTCGACTCTGGCGGCACCACTGGGTATACAGTAATAGTATTGAGAATAGTGTTGCTTTCATTTCAGGTGGGAGAAAGGCGCATATTTAAATAACCATTAAATTTAACATTTGGTATAATTTAGCATAATATTCCATCAGCCCTTGGCATAATTTGGTTTGGATCACTGGTCACAAAGAAAGGTGTATACTGTAGGTCTAGCATTCAATTAAGTATTGCGGACGTATAAATAACGCTAAATGTTTTGATTTTAAAGAAGATAGAGAGTAGTCAATGTGATCTACCAGTATTTTAATGATTGAACCTGTAGTTCAAATGGATGAATTATTGTCTTGCTTAAACAGCTTGTTTACCACCTCCCCATGCTACAATGTAGCTTGCAACAATAGAAATCCTGATCATTTTACTTGTAAACACTTGCATAATTCTGAAAATGTTGTATTTTTAAAATGTTTATAAATTTATTTTTAAAAATCCAGGGGCCCCCCCCCCATAACCCCACCCCATCCCTTATTTTATCCACACCTCGACAACACCCTCTCTAACAAGGCTTGGCCAAATGTACGCTATGGTAAGGTTTTTGCTTCTCCTGAGCTGCTATGATATGTGAAATTTCACTGAGCTACAAATACCAATCTGTTTACAGGGAGCTCTTCTGCTTGTTCAAAACACACAGTGAATAGGACCATGAAACCGTCCAGTGATCAATTATGGCACCATTATTCTACTTGCGGCCTATATTATCTTGCTCAATTTCAAACCATCTCCGTGCGCATTACCCGGGGGTTGCCTTTTGTAAATAAAATGTGTTCCTTGTACCGTACTTTTAATATGTTTGAAAAATATTTATTATTACTTTGTTTTTCTTCACATGCAAATTAAATTGCCTTGAAGGCCAAATTTGTCCTGTGGGCCACCTATTAATAACCAGGGTATTATAACACCAGGGCACTATTATTTATCCATTTGTATATAATATATATTCCAGTATATAATATACATAATGAGTGGTTCTAATTTTTCAATTTCATGTGGTGATTATGTTGATAAAATATAAAGATGGCCATGCTGACAGTGATGAAGACGGCAGCAACATCAATGAATATTTTTCATGATGCATTTCTCTCTCCTTATTAGCCACCTTAAGGATATTTTTTACATAAGCCAAATGAAATCCTTGTTATTTATAGGCAACATGTCTCCATATATTACATCTTACATCCGTGAAAGAAGCTACCCACACGATCTGAGATATCAGGTAAAATTAGCCGACCTTTTGTATGTTTTGTGTATATTTACCATTTTAAGACTTGCCATGCAAATAAGTATATAGAAATATTCTTTATATACAAGACCACCAACATAATTTTTCTGATCTCTAATTATAATTTTTTTTATTTGGGGTGATCAGATTTACATTTCAATGTGAAGTCCACTGAAATGATATGATAATGAAATAATTATAAAAATTATGTTGCTTGTATTAGATTTGTTTACAATTATTTAGGGGGCTGGGCATATATTCAAGGGAGGCGTTAATTCCAAATGAGGCTGTAGAGAGGGAGCTTATCCAAGGCGGTATTTTTATTCAATCCAGCTCAGAAAATAAACAATAATAAATAGGAAGAAATCACATTGAATTCACACTATAAACCTACATCAATATGCCTACATAAAGAAATACACAAATTATACAGTTATTATATAATCATACCGTAACTGTAATACTAATTATACCATACCATGTAAAATACATGCAAACAAGGTATTATATTTCCTCAAACCATATACAGTAGGAAGAAAGCATAATGAATTCCCATGGGTTATATTTGTTGTAGCATTGCATTTAAAAATGATAAACCATATGGAAGTTTACCGGGTGTTAGGTTGATGCATCAGTGATTCCAATCTGTAGCGTTATTGGCTGATGTGATGGATTTAATGAGTATTTAATTATGTCACACTTGAAAGAGCTTTTTAATCTTTGCCTCTACATTGCTTTCATGCTCGCAACCTTAAAATAGAATTTATTGGATTTTTTTTTTATTGGATTTCGAGAAATAAATTAAAAAAATTATATTCAATTATGACAATCATTATTGATAACAACAGTGATTTCTTGAAACAAATTAACTGCTAATGATTTTAATTAAAGCTATCTAATTTGTAGAATTAAAATTAAAGATGTATGTATTGGATTTTTTACCAAATGTAAATTACGCAAAATTCTATCTTATTAATTTAAAAATACTTACATAGGATTTATATATTACATGTAGCCTTATGTTATTTGCAATTAAGAAACATATCATGTTATTTCTGTTAGGTGTTAATTGAATAAAATTACTAGAATCAAACATGGTTTGGAATGCCTTTTCATGCCCTCCTGAAAAATTTGCAACATAGTGAGCTAACTGCTTCCTGCACTCCTAAATCTCTATCATATTGAATATGTGCCAGTATTTCTAAAACACTAGCATGTAAAAGCAATCACATAGCAAACAGCGAGTGATTGTGTTTGAGTCATCGCTTACTACAGGATATCGTTGTTTGTAGTTGCATAGTGCAGTATTTCTCATCTCTTAGCAATGAAATCAATCCATGCAATTAACATAGACAAGTAGTTTGCTCAGGATTGGTTAATTAGTAACGCATTTTTTTAAACAGTAAGTAATTTTTTTCAAAAGTAAGATTATTAGACATAGCCATGTATCCAGATTTAAAGGAGCCATTTTGTCTGTAATAACACAATATTTATGTTTAGTCATCAAGTCATCATCATGATCGTGATTATCACCATAATCAACATCATCATCATTATCATAATTTTAAAAAAGCAAACAAGAAACATTTTAGAATTGTGAAGTTTGGTTTTTTCTGATTTTTTTAAATGAAATTTGTATTGTTTTGTTTTATGATTATTAAAGGATTGAATCAATCAATCCAGTCATCATTATATTTATCATCATGTTTATTCACCATCATGTTGCCAAAATAATTGACAAGTATCAGTTTATTAATTCCACAGCTTGTTATAGTCATCTATGTCCTGGCTCTAGCAGGACAAGGCTCAACAATGATTCTGGGTGGAAAACTGGAAAAACGATTTGGACCAAAATATGTCTCTCTCGGCGGTGGCTTGATCATGAGGTAAAAGCAATTGATGAAATGAAAAAAAAAAAATAGTGCTCAATTATATTTATCTTCCAATAGAATTTTTAATAATTTTGTTCTCATCTTTGCTTCTCTACAGCTCAGGGGTACTACTTTCATACTTTAGTATACAGAAGTCGTTTGCGTGGTTAGCTGTTACCTACGGCATACTTTTCGGTATTGGTATTGGCATCACCTATGTTTCTCCCCTCGTCTGTGCACTCAAGGTAAAGCAATATTTTGTTATTGTTGTTGTTTTTCATTATTAATACTATTATTATATATATTAATAATAGTATTGTAGTTTATATTATTGTTTTTTGGTAATACTCTTGTAATAATGATAATAATAATAATAATAATAGATGGATTTATATAGCGCAGGTAAAGGAGGTCTCTATGCGCTTGGGACTAGATGTTGCACTTTTTAATAACTTTCTCCTCCCCTGAGGGCGACTTCATGTCCACCGCAGCCAGTAAACCGGCGCACTTTCATCTGTCCATGACGGGCTGAGTGAACCTGTACACTGGAGTAATCCCCTACTCATCTCGAAAGATGTACTGGGTTCTTTAAAGCGCACATGAGCATTTGCGTACACTGTGCCTACGGTTTATAGTCCTTATCCAAGAAGACTTGTTCCACCACCAGAACTGTAGGAGCGAGTCGGCCGCGAACCTGTGTCGATATTGTTGGCTATGATCACCGGTGCTCCTGCCTTAACCACTCGGCCATTTGGCTCGCTCAAGTGGGATTTGTATAGTGCATAATACAGAGGTCTCTATGTAGTTTGATCTGTGCATGTTCGTAGTGGAGGTGAATGGACATACACAATCATTTAACACACACAACATAGGCCTCATCATTGGAATCATCTAAATTTCATCTTAATAAATATTAATTTATTAGTTGTTGCAACTACTGTATTCTTTACACTATGCATCACATTATGATACTACAATCATCAACACGATATGTAAAATTCTAATGAAACGTCGTTGGACTAATTGAAGTCAACTTGTCACATTGTTACATTTTTAAACACTAGTGGTTTCCAGAGAAGACTGGGTTAGTGAGCGGAATAATTGTAGCTGGATTTGGTGGGGGCGCTTTCATTTTCAACTTTGTACAGACCTCTTATATAAACCCAAGTAATTTGTCACCCAACTCATCGGAACCAGGATATCCAGATGAAAAGTGAGATTACTAATTATTTTAATTCTGAACATCGAAGTTTATGACACCTTAATATACAGGTCTCCCTATAATTTAAGACCCCCTCCAATTAAAGACCGCCTCCAACTAAAGACTGCTTCTGTGGTCTCAAATTCCCAAATGTCTTTTATATTTATTATTCTAATTAGAGACCAAAGCTGCAACATTAAACCACAGTTCCAAAAATGGTCATCAATTGGAGGAGACTTGCATTCATATTTATAAGCTTTTACCATAATTTAACATTTGACGATGTCTTATATCACATTCCGTGTTATACCATTATTTTGTTATGTCGTATTTTCAGGTACTTCTCGGAGCCGTCCGTGCTTGATAAAGTTCCGTCTGTGTTCCTGTTACTTGGTTTCACTTATGCAGTAATGCAGTTAATCGGTTCAAATCTTATCGGTAACCCACCTGTCAAAGATGTAAGCCTGTTTTTGAATTGTTAACTATTTTCTCTATAGATCAGCAAGAAATTGCTTACACCATGTTCATTTTCAATGTATACATTGTATAATATTTTTTAAAAAATGAATAAAAAATTAGAAAAATTAAAATAAAAAAATTAAAATTAAATTAAATTTTAAAAAATTAAATTAGTCATGTAAAGCGGCGCTGATTATGATGTGTATTATAGAAATGTGCGCTATATAAATGTTAATGTTAATATATTTTATATTAATAAAATGTTGTGTTATTATACTAATAATAATAATAATAATAAAATTGATATTAACAATGATGATGAGAATGATAATACTACATTATAGTCATAGTAGTAATAATGATGTAACTGAGAATGCAGCAGCAAAAACAATGTGGTGGATTAATAAATAATTTCGATTTAAAAATCATTATTTATAAATAATTATTTTCAAATTTTCATTATATATAAATAATGAACAAATGAGATGTTAAATAATCATTATTTTTATTGTATGTTAAATAATTATTTTTTATTTTATGTTAAATAATCATAATTTTTATTATATGTTAAATAATTATTATTTTTATTATATGTTAAATAATCATTATTTGTATATGACATTTTATTTTTCGATATAAAATAATGAAAATTCAAGAATAATTTTTATATTGATAATGATTTTAAAATTGCAATTATTTATAAATAATGAAAATTTAAATTTCATTATATATAAATAATAACTTGTGAACTGTAGTCATATGTTATATAGTGAATTATATGTAAATAATTTAACTAAATAATAAATTTACACTTGGCGCCTCATATAAATTATGTTGTTTTTTAGGTATATGCTGCCATTGACAGTCAGTATAACGATGAAACAAAACTTACCCTCGAAGAAACAGATGATGAAAACACGGATGATGACATTGCGAAGTCTGAGAAGAATACATCCAGATCTCCTATTGACTTCCCTGACGAAGGAGAGTATCCAAAAGTTGATGTGCGATCATCCGGTCTCGAACTGCAGCCAAGGGAGATCATCAAGACAGGTGCTTTTTGGAATCTGTGGTTTACGTTTCTGGTGAATGGTCAAGCTATTGTGTTTATATCAACACTATGGAAGGTAGGATTTATAATCAATAGAATGAAAGTAACTGTCTGTGTCCAATGATGGCTTATTATGTGTACAGATTGGGAGATGCTACAAAATTTGTAACATGCCATAAATTCGTGGAAAAAATTATCAACTTAATTTGGCTCCTTGTAAACGAGTAGATGTTTTCTCAATTTTTCCTTAACAAAGAAACATATAAATTTTTGAACTGAAATCCTTGATAATTGAACCAAGAATATTAATTGAAGGCCTTTTTTAGGATTGACAACAACCCATCATCAGTACAGAACAGAAAAAAAACAAACATTAAAGCCAAG